GGCTGTTGCTCATTCCCCCGCCCTTCCTGAAAGAGCCGAAAGCCACACCTCCCAATGTGCACGGGCAGGAAAAGCAGAGTCAACATCGGAGCATTGCTTCTTGTAATAGAGCTGAGCTAGTGTTAGCAATGGAGTTATCTGAGGTAAGAAAGTTGTATTTAACCAGCACATTAAACACTTACTGTTTACAAAAGGCATTTTATAAAGAATATCTATAAATATATTTATATTTTAAAATACCAGTAACAGTTGGCAATCTATATTGTAAATAAAATTAATCCTATCAAATTGTTAGCATTTTATTGCAAGTAACTAGCTTATTTTTAATTGCTTTGCCATTCAAGATGGGATGAATATATCAAAGCATATAAATAATTTATGTGGAAATCATGAATAAACACTGCATTCTTTGTAGTTCTCCTATAATCATGGTTGTTTTCATAGGGTTTCTGTTTATTGTTGGTTTAGCCCAAATTTTGACTAGATGTAAACCTGATCTGTGTCAACATTGATTAATATGCAAGAGTACTTTTTATATTAGTATAATTTTTTTAATTCTAATACAATTTAGAGTTCAGTGATTGAGGAATCCTCTGAGGAAGAGTTTGAACCTCCTATTGCATCCTCAAGACATGGTGCAAAAAGGAGATGCCCACCATCATCTCAAAGCCGTGGTACATCCAGAGGCCGAAGAAGGGTGAGACACTCAGCTGTGGACCTTGGAGATGAAGATCTCTCTCGAGTTCGGAATCTTTGTTCCGAGCGAATAGACTTTGAACGTGTAAGCATAACAAAATTACACTAAATGATCCTAAAAACTGTTGCTGTAGCATCTCTTTCCACTTTTGTAGCAACACATACAGAACCTGAACCCTCAGCAGGCTATTGACATCCTTACTATGGTGCTGGACAGACATTGGTGTTCTCTTTGATGTACTTGCCCTCTCTGGTCCACCTGCCACAACACCTCCAACACCCAATCAACCTTCATGGTGTGTATGCTCCCACTGCAGAGATATGCCAACTGATTTGGAAAAGAAATGCTGCCAACAGCCTCCCCAGACATGTATTTCAACTGTACCACACATGGAGGAGTTTATTCTGCAAAATTCCCTGACCCCAATGGTAACTACACTGGTTTTATTCCAAGACGATCGTAAATAAATGTATATATTTGATATTTTACATAAGTTTGTTTTTATATATTTTTGTTTGATGCTCTAATAAAGGGTTCTAAAGCACAACTTTGTGTTGCATTTGTAAAAATACCATAAATTTAAAACTCCTGCACAACAACAAAAAATTATGTCTACCTCCAACATTTTACATAAATTTTTAAATTATTAGTACTTATTTCCCCAAAATATATCTTTATTTTCAAAAAAAAAAAAAAACACAGGAAACAAAAATAAAGAAGGTTTTGGGTTTTCTCTTGCCTCCCCCAACACCTATGTCTGTGGCAAAGTTTTACCTGTAAATAAAAAATAAACTCAATTAGCAATGGACTATTGTGTGGAAGATGTAAGGCAGATAATGTTTTATTTTACCATCACCACAAGTCCGTAGGTGTTGTAGAAGTTCCTCTGTTGATGGTGCAGGAACTCCGGACAGCAAACCATAACGCCTTGGATCCTCAGGCCTTAGCTTTTAGCGTCGAGGAAGACCTTTCTTGCTTGTCAAATGTCGCTCAGTTGCTTCTGGGATATTACAGTCATGAACTGTATCCTCTATGTTAATTTCTTGCAGAGTCTCAAGTTGTAATGTTTTTTGTAATGCTGCTCCAGTCCTGTGAACAAAAGCTTTTTATTAACTATGCGCTATTGCAGTTTTATAGAATGTTAAACGAAAGGAATTACCTTATGTGTATATAAGGTGTGTAGTCCTCATCACCACCGTCATCAGTACCGCTGTCCATCTCGATGGTTTCATCATCCTCTGAAGACGAATCAACTTCTGGTTCTCTGTTTGGTGACCATGTGTCATCTGATGACTCTATCCTGAATATACACAATATAAAGTTTTTAGTATGGAAAATTAGACACATTTTATTAACATCTGAATACTTACACAGAGTTTTGAATATTGTTGAACTCTTCCTCGTCAATGTTTGCTTCAATTCCCACACAAGATAACCTAAAAAATTAATTATTGTTTACTTTTCCTGACAAATGTGACAGCCAAATACAGATACAACCTTGTACTTACATTTGTGAAGATCCTTCTTTTTTAGTTTCACCTTGTTCCATCACCTCCTCCAAATTATCATCCCTATGAAAATAAAATACAAGCACAAGAATATGATTAGAATCAATACATATTTTGTCATTTTGAAGGTAATAGACCTAGTCTATTGGCCGTCATCATCACCCTCTCCTTATTTTTCTCACTCTACTTATTACGCATTTCTCTGTATCCACTGAATTCCTTCTTTACAAATAATTTCCTGTCTCTCTCTTTACATTTTAAAAACACAATTGTGTTATTTTTTCTCATACACTTTGAAATAAAAATATAATTTTTTAAAATATGTTTAATTTTGTTGTTGTGAAGTGCCTCAAGAGTTTTATCTTGAGAGGCGCTATATAAAATGTAGTTTTACTATTTATTTCTATACATTTTTTATAGTCATTCATTATCCCATTTCTAGAATTTTTTCAAAATAATCCACCACTAACTTAAAACAAACAGAGGCAAAATTATAATATTCCTGGTAGAGGTTTTTACGCAGCTATTTACCTTTCAGATGATTCTCCATGAATGCTAGACAGCTGGCACTGGTGTTGGAGAAATACACAGTTGGCGTTTCAATGGTGTAGATGTTGATGCTTCATATTTGGACTGATGACTGTAAAAAACAAAGCCCAAAAATTAGTGATCACAAGCTAAACAAGTCTCCCCAGCCTTCACAGATTTCTGCACGAGCTGATTATCATTCCTTTTATTTTAATATGGAGTATTCACGTAGGTAAGACCACAAACTCAGACGGTAATCTGTACACGTGGCCCACCCAGGTTAGCACAATATGTCTTTCAGTGCTAATGGAAACGTAAGGTTTTGGATACGTTCCTGATCAATCACACCTAATTCTAACTGCTGAATCATCTCCTCAGACTTCTACAAGTGCTACATGAGCTGCTGATTACTCATTTTAATCAAACATGCAGCTCAGGCAAGTGTAAAACCTAATTCAGCTTTCAAGATGCTAACCGAACCCCGGTAACGGGGAAGTTATAAACAAGAGCTTAAAACAATATACTGATGTGGCCTATAGTTAAACACCACACTAATCATTAGCTCCCATATAATCAAAAAACTAAAATCCCCTTTCGTTACTCAAACTTCTTCAAAATATAGCATAAATAGTTCGACTAGCATCAATTCATGTCGACTTAGCATTCAAGCTAATGCTACATTGGCCAATAGGACACCAAGCATACAAAGCTTGTTTGCTCTATTACTTCTTTTAGTGAAAGAAAGATTATAAGTAAATTTATCCGAAAAACAATAAATAACTTACCTGTCTAAAAGATACTTTGCCAACTCTTCATCCGTTTTCAGGCCGTGTAGATCACGAAAATCTCTCCATCGTAATCCAATGTAAAATCTACTCGACTGTCTTAAACATCTTACAGCCACTTTTGAAGAAGGGCTTTTAAACTTTTTAAATGTTTTTTGAGATGTGGAAGGCAGTCGAGGAATCGGTAATTTGGGGTTTTGTTGCTTCTGCAGTGAGCCGAGTGAGGCGCGTGACACTGTTGTGCACCCTGAGACCTGCTCGTGCTCGATGATTGACAGCTGCCCCCTGGTGGAAACGCAGCGCTATTGGTCAACGCGTTAGGCTTGCAGAAATATTGGCTGAGCTCTACAGGGCAGGGGAGGGACTTAGGAGAAAATTGAAATATTAAAGATTATTTACTTTTTTTAATAAAATTGTGTCAGATGGTCAAAATCAAACGTTTTTAAAGTTATTCTACATTTAAATGTTGCAGACTGTGCCTTTAACAAACTTGGATGGAGAAATCGCTCCGCAACACAGCCTGGTATGAATGTGGAAGTGGCGCTCAGGTCGCCAAACAAAGAAGGAGAAGCCAGAAGATCACGCCGATGTTTACTAGATAAACCACGCTTTAAGAGAAGTCTTATTCTCACCTGGATTCCTTTTTCCTGTATAAATCCCTAATGTGTTCATTGTGAGTTAGCTGAATGGTTTGATTCTTTGTTACCTTTAAGTTTATTGTAGTTGCCATTTTGATTTTGGGCCCTTTTTTGATATATTTTCTTCTTTATGGATTTTTTGTTGATTATTTAGGGAAAATAAAAAGAGAATTACTTTTTTTACACCTTTGTCGTAATGTCTGACTGCTTGGTCCCTGTCAAATCTGTTCCGTGTCTGTTGGTAACAGCGCCGGCACTCCGCACACCCCGCGCAGCGCGTAAGGCAGCACGCCGGGGGGAGGGGCACCAAACGCAAGCTTATGAAAAAATTATATATATATATATATATATATATATATATATATATATATATATACATATATGATAAAGACAGATTTCAATTAGAAGATGTGCAAAGCAAGTCAACAGCATGTTTACAGAGAGAAAACAATACACCACGAAGCCTTTGTGCTTAGGGCACCAAAATTGCTAGCAACGGCCCTGGCTGCTAAATATGTTATTTTTCAAGTGGAAAGGGCGGTGCTGTTGACAAATTAAAATGAAGCTAGTCCTGACCAATCACAAGCTTGCAGTCTCCTTTCCGTTTGACAGATATTTTTAAATTTGGGTACATCTCCGTCAGCCTCTGTGAGCCTGATGCTGATGCATAATGGTGTTGCCTGTCTCCTTACCCATGCAGATGTGAAGTACAAGTTAAACTTAAGCTGCAGATGTTCCACACCTGCTTTCTACAGCTGAATTAAGATGACACAGAGAAATGGAGAAAGTTTTAGGCTCAGGAAAACGTGATGCACGTTTCTTTATCCTCTATCTACCCTCCCAGGTGTGGGAATTGTCATCGGGCGAGCTACTTCTGTCCATCCTGTTTGATGTGGAGATAATGTCTGTGACCTGTGATCCCAGTGAATACTACTTGTTTTGTGGGGGAAGCGATGGAAACATTTTTCAAGTTTCACTCTGCAGCCAGGTGAGTTTATGTTGTATGATTTGGTTCTTTTCTGAACAGAGTAATATAGATTTGTTATTTACTTTCTTACTGACAAGTTTCAGCTACATGTTTACCCTTTTTCACAGTGTCATCATTTTCATGGTTCTATGTCTCCTCGGTACACCTAGTCGTGGTTACACATCTTCTGTTCATTGTTACTGTTACTTTTCACTTGTGCTTGGCATGGTCACAATTATGAGTTGTCATATTTAGACATCCTCAGTCTAGTGCTCCATGTCCTCCACCTGCTGTCATAATTGCAGAAGGTTGTTCATTTTAACTATTTGTGTTTTTTTAACAGAATCTCTGCCGAGAAAAGTCCTTCCAGTCTGAGAGTGAAGGGAACCAGGTGTTCAAAGGTCACAGGTGAGTGTGTAGATCCTATTGAGCCTTTGCACGTGACATCACGCCACTCATGTGGCCGCCCCCTTCGCCATGATGGACGGCAAAAAGACCGTTTACACCCGTAGAAGCTCCAGTGAAGCTAGTCAAAACAAGCCAGTTTGTAGCCTTTTATGGCTTTTATTGAGTTGATGTGACAGTAAAATGGTTTCAGCCTGCTGCGTGGTCGGCTGCACTGAGAGACAAGGACGTAAACTCAACTCGTTTCGTTTTTGATAACTTTGATGGAGACTGATCGATCGCTGCAGTTCATCTCTGTCCTCAGTCGGACTAGCAGGCCTCAGATTAGCAGCGAACATGCTTTTAGCGGGTAAGATTAACGTTCATTTATTCCACGAGGAAGACAGGGACAGGGATAAATGTGATGTGTTTATACTGGTTATTGATAATCCTGATGGACGGGTGTTTCACCACGGAGGCTGCGCTCCGTCCACTCTAGTGTAAAGAGAGACGATTATTAACAATATTAAAGCTCCGATGTATGGTTACGTGTTAAAATGACGTTATTTATTTATTTATATGAGCGTCGGCGTTCAGAGATCTTCTCATTCTGGTGTGAGAGCAGCAGCTGAACCCGGTAACACCACCAGTAACAGAAGCTGGTAGGGATCCGGACCTTTTAACAATCAGCTTTGGTGTGAAGTGAAACGCTGTTTACAACATAAAGTTATAGATCCAGAGGGGTGAATTTAGAAAAAGTCAGCAACACGTTTACATCGGTGACCAGCTGCAGAGAGAACTTATGCTAACGTTGGTAAGCTAGTTAGCATACGGCTAGATGCGCTACTTCTTCTGATAACTGAACTGGGCATGAACCAGTTGAAGGAATGCTGGAGGAGTTTTGTTTTTGTTTTGATCACAAAAACAATTTCAGGCTCTACTTTTCCCTTTGTTTCGTACTCGTGTCGCTCGCTGTTTACATGCTTTTGCTGTCCACCATCATGGACCCACGTGATTAGGTGACATCGGTGCAAAGGGTCAATAGGGAGGGCTAGAACCAAAACGAGAATGAGTGTGCTGAAATCATCGACGTATAAATATTGTACAATGGGTTTCCATAGGCTCCAATAACAAGTTTTCTGTTAGAATGGGAGGTGGCCACCACCGCCATTTTGACCGTGTCACAGGTTCCGTCAAGCCCAGACAATTCCATAAAAGGGAAGAGAGGAGGAGCTGAGGGTGGGTCTGAAAGGCTGGGATCAACAGACGACACCCGGTCGAACTAGCTACAAGCTAACTTGAAGCTAACCCAAAGCTAACGCAGAGGTGGGAGCTAAGCTAACGGAGGTAGCAACCTAGCTACAACCGGAGTTAACTGTGTACAACACCAGAGCTTCTGAGTCAGAGATACGCTGGGCTGACCGCTGGGTAAAACCGGGTGGAACACAGAGGTCTCCGAGAGCTCCACAAGCCGATAGTGGGAACCCAGCTCCACCAACATGTTATATTTCAACCCATTTTCTAAAGTGCAGCATTATGTTAAATGCACTGGGTTTTACCCTATTACATTTAAATGTCATGGTTAAACAGTACATGTTAAAATCTAAGCTCAGCTCGGCAGTGACCTAAAATACATAAATATAATTTTACTTACCGAAAAAAAATGAAGTGGAGACTCCTTGGACGCTCTATTAGTGCAATTAATGCCACAGCAAGTCATTTTGTCCAACAATTGCACAAAAATATCCAAACAAGAATACACAAACACAGAGACTCAAAATCCTGGAACAGTTTCCAGGCCAGACCGAGGCTCTACTGAGGCCTTTCCCCGGAGCTAGCTCTGTGGTCACATGGGTCTGATGCTCATTAATTACCGTAAATCCTCTAATACAGGCCCGGGCCTGTATTTGACTCAAGCTCATCAAGCTCCCGGCCTTTATTGGAAGGAGGGCCAGAATTAGAGGCAGGCCTCAATTTCTATTTGAGCAAATTGAACTAATGGTTCGCTGGGGATTTTGACGTTTTTGACAATTAAAATTGCGCCCACATTTTCAAAGTTCAACACATTTCTTTTAACAACGGTAGTTTCTGCTTCAGCCCTCTCCCCCCTCCCGTGCTTCAGCCCTCTCCCCCCTCCCCCTGCTTCAGCCCTTCCCCCCTCCCCCTGCTTCAGCCCTCTCCCCCCTCCCCCTGCGCAGCGGCCGCAAACTCACTGATGCGCCTGCAGCCTCTCGGAGTTCCTGCTGCTCTAAACATTAAAATAATTATTTCATTTTCTGTTCCTCACTTCTGATTACCTTCAATGGTGTCTGTTTGTTGCAACCAGCAGGTACAAAAACTAACTTGTTTTTATTTGACTATTTTTCTGTCCTGCCTGTTTATTATCTTCCTGCATCTCCTCTCAGTCCTAAAGAGAAACTGCTACCTGGGTTCATATATATTCACCTCATGAGTTACCTTTGAACTGCAGTTCTAAAAGATCTACCGACCGCTAAAACAGCGGAGTGCTCGCCGGCCGCATCAGCGAGGTGCGTCACCGAGGACAGAACAGGTGATGCACCCCGATCCACAGCAGCGAAACGCATCAGGCACAAATAAAAGAATAAAAGACAGAAAACATGAAAGGAAATGAGCCGACATGAACGATCGCGTGTTAAATTAGTTTTTGAGGTGGCGACACCTGATTTGATAATGTTACTGTGGCCGTGCTCAGGACGCAGATGTCTGGAGCGCTTCAACAACCAGAGCTTTGCATGCGCAAGCTGGTTAAGGTGAGGTTGGGGGTGAGGGGAAGGGGAAGGTTAAATTGCAAGAGGGTAAACGTCACAATTTGGTTAAATGTCCGTTTTACGGCGGGTGTCGGTACCGACGCTCTGGCACAGCGCGTTGCCTCCCGACGCGCAGGAGCTTGTCACCTGCTGACAGCAGGCTGCTGTCTTTTCCGTGGACTGCATCTTGCCGGTCATTATCACGTGACAGCGACTAGTCGATGACAGGCATAACAAGTCACTATAGAGCGGTGAAGTCAACTAGTGACTAGTTCATACAACCCCTGCTACTGCTCCCCAGAGTGTTCTGCAGCATTATCAGCACGTTCTCTTTGAACTTGATATCAAATTTTCGCCTCCTCTTCGTCTCCGCACGGTTAAAGTTACCCTCGCGGTCTATCACTGGCAAATCAAAAGTGAGATGGATGACACAACCGCCCCCCGTACTTGCTTGTTACCACATTCCACCCGGCCACAATAAACAAACGGCCATTATTCACCTCCGCCGACTTCGACACCGGCCAAAATGTGATACCCGGCCGTTAATTGAATACAGGCCAATATTAGAGGATTTATGGTATACAGAATTTTAGGCTTTTAATACACTTAAACAGAAGAGTGAGAAAAAAATTCACCCTCCTCAGAGTTGTCATGAGTGTAAACTAGATCATTTAAACCAAAAACATGTTCTGGTACCAGGCTGTAAACATGTTTATTTCTGCTGTGAAATTGGTATTTTTAACATGGGAGTCAATGAGGATTTGCTCGCTTCTGACACCAGCCCCTAGTGGATGAGGGTGGAACTGCAATTTTTGGTACTTCCGGGTTGGGACCTATTTTTGAGCCACATTGTGGGGGCTTGGCTAAAATAAAGAATGAAAGCAGCTGAGTGAGGAGATGTGATCTGCATGTGGGAGTGTCTCACGCAGGGCAATTTGGAACCACGTAGGACAAAGTCTTCCCATGCTTCACATTTGTATCTAAAGCTGTTATAGGAAATTTGGAAAACAATTTTGCTTGAAACATTTCTTTCATGCTTCTTAACCTTCTAACATATAGCTATAAATCTCTGTCATGCCCCAGGGCAGCTGTGGCTACAATGTAGCTCGTCTCTCAGTGTATGAATATGTGTATAAATAAATGAATGATTCACTGTAGAGTCAACTGTCTTGGAGTCCTCTGGCTTTGAAAGGAGCTATACACATGCAGGTCAAGCAACCATTGGACCATCCGGTTGTCGGTCTCACCGAACCACTACACTTCCCTGAGTCCTCCACTCATCACACACTCGTGTATCTATCAACAGAACACCACTGGTGTGAGAGGATTTCTGCTCAGTTATATTAGAGAAGGAGAAACAGTGACTCGCACTATGTCGTTTCCTCTGGCAAGGCTGGTTTCTGGGGTGACGATGGCACAGGAGTTAAGTGCTCACCTCGTAATCGGAAGGCTGCAGTCTGTCGCTGCAGTGGACAGCGGTAGCTCAGGAGGTAGAGTGGGTTGTCCAGTAATCGTAAGGTTGCAGGTTCGATCCCAGGTCTGACCAGAGAATGCTGTCGTGTCCTTGGGCAAAGCACTTAACCCGCCTTGCCTGCTGTTGGTGGTTGGAGGGACCGGTGGCGCCTGTGTACGGCAGCCTCGCCAGCTGTGGCCCCAATGTAGGTCATTACCACCAGGGTGTGAATGTGTATGTGAATGGCTGAATGACTAATTGTGTTGTAAAGTGCCTTGGGGGGTTCCAGGAAGGCGCCATAACAAAAACGGGCCATTTATCATTTCTGGTTCTGGTGGATGTGGATCAAAGGAAGATACCCGAAGGGAGGGCTGAGTGTATTTGTGTTTGAAACCTAGCGTGTTCTGTAGATTCGCTAAAGCAGCTTTAACGGTGGGTATTGTAGTGACCTCTGACCTTTATGTATTATACATATTTTATATTGTCACAATAATCTGTTCAGATATTTACAATAAAATCATTAATTTGATTTTCCACAAAATTCATAAAATGAGGGTTAGACTGTCCCTCTGCTTAGAAAACTTAACCCACAGAATAGGTCTAATTGTAGTAGGACTCCATCTCCCATGCCAAATCACAATATTACTCCGGTCTCATCTCGTCCAACTCCAGCAACACTAAGACATTATTTTCCATCATGAGCAGCATTTTTCAGCCTCCCGACTCCTTACCCATCCATCTTTACTCTTCAGAAACCTGTAACTCTCTCCTTCAGTTTTTTAATGAGAAGGTCAATGGAATCC